CACAAGACTGTAAAACGGGTGCTCTTGTCACTCGACATCAACAAAGCTTCTCGTCTTCACTTGATTCCTGCTATTGCACTGAAGACATGTCTAGCGGATTTTGTACCCGTTCTTTCGCGCCTTTTCCAGATAGCTTACGAATCTGGTACACCTCATTTCAATGAGAAATCTCCTGGATTACGTCACACAACTGTGAAGTCAATTTGCCCACTCAAATGGTGAGGCTCATGTCGTAGCTCTTGACATCACGAAAGCTTTCAGTTAGTTATGGTATGCTGCCCTCTTATGGAAACTTCGGCCGCAAGCTATCCGTCGTAATCTGTATCAATATCAACGCAGGTGTTCTACAGATATCACTCTTGGTCCCAGCTTTGCTACTATTGCATATAAACTCAATTCATTGAGGGTGGCAAGCCGATATCTTCTGATGCGCTAGGGAGAAGAAGTCTAGTAGAAGCTTCTCTCACAAGAAGCACCCTAGCGATCATCCGGTTTAGAGTCTAGACCATCGAGGACTTAACTCGTCAATCGCAACAGCTACTGGGACGACGGGCGGTCGACGATCTTGAGCTCCTCTACCAATATGTCAATGGGCTTTGCTCCTCAGGGATCTTCTCCATGATGCCGCTGTGAGTTTAGGCTGACAAGCGAACCCGCCAGGCTTCTGATCCCCATCCCAACTCTGTCAAATTCCGTGCATCCAGAACGACCGCTCCTTTGTTCCTAGGGTGTCGAGATCTGAGGGAGTTTTCATAGTTCTTAGGCAGTTCAAAAATCGTATCAACGAGAGGTTTTTAAGCTTCTTGTAGCAGTCGCGGTGACAATATGTTTGAGCTTCTGCCTATGTGGTTGCTTCAGTATAAAAAAATTCTTCAAACAGGTATATAGTAAGTTACAGATGCTTATTTATGCTAGGATAGACTGCTTAAAACAATCAACCAATCCTTTCTATTTCTCAACCAGATAAGTACCGTCCCTGCCCACCAGCGTCATCGATCAGCTGGCCTACTACTGGCCGCGTGTGCGGGGGTTACACATAGCTGCGATGCGCCCCCTACCGACGCGACGCTCGACCGGAGCGTCGTCCCGACGCCGTCGATGCTGGACGCCACGACGCTGATTTACTGCTGCTTGCCATCAGATTATATCCCAGTATATCTGATGGAATACAGCAGCAGCAACTTATACGTATTTAAAGTACGTATGTTAATGCGTAAGAAATCTACCTGGCGTCAATACTTCAATGGACAATCGTGAGCAAGGAACAGGAGTAGAAATAGAAGGATTGGTAACCCGAGCGACATGGTACTTCAATTATTGTTCTTGCTTTTCCATCTAGGTTTCCGCAAAACAAATGTGCCTGCTGGAACTTGATGGTGGCTTCTATTTGTATTTTCCTTTCGATTATTGCTTTCCTTCAGGTTAATCCCGTATCCAGATGTGATGGTCATCTGTTTTCACTTCGTTGTTTTCAATCCACATCAATTTGGGCCTGATGAAGCCAATAAACAGAAACGTACGTCGCTCGGGGTAGCTTTTCTTCTGTGACTGCTCCTGTTCCCTTATTGTGTACATCCCCACAATCAATACTTCTTACACTTGATGTCTCGGTGTCAGTACACCCACGGTAAACACTCACAATTGCTGATATTGGTCTTACAATGCTCGTAATTGCGTACGTGTTTATACAAGGGTTGACAGATATGTTCCTAGCCTGAACACCTTGGCATAAAGCAACATTTAATTTATGTTTTATTCCTCAATTCCTTCTGATATAAAAGCGCCTGTTTAGTGAGTGTTCCAGCATTTCAATAGCTATTACGTATGGCTGACCGTGTACTCATTTAAAATATTCAGTTATCGTTGACAATAGAGCCAAAAGTGAGCTGCCACGAGGCTCTCCCCAGAAGTTGTGATGCTGTGTAATATTGTGTCTACCGTGATTGTATCGCAGGCGGCCTGTGCCACCGGGCCTATCGCATTGACAAGTGACATAATTTAGGCCGCCCTAAGGCGGCTATAGTGGCAGTCGTATTGTTTTATTGAAGGGGGAATAGATGGTATACCTGTATTCTTCAGTAATGCCCTGTCACCCCTTTTCACCTAGTGCAGCCCTTCATTGCGTGCAGATTGGTAAAAATCAGAACCGCATTCTGAACTGTTTTATACCAAACATCTTATTCTTTCCTACGTAACTTGAAATATAGTGGATCATTTTGTTTCCTATAGATTTAGCGTTGACAGATTTGTCAGCATTGTGTGTCACTTGTTTATATGAGGGTACTTTGAAATGTAGATAATAAGCTGTTATTTGTTCTCACGTTTGGCGTAATGGATACTCGTGAAAACGACTTTGAAGAAGAAGACAGTGAGATCGAAACGTATATACTCGGTATTATGAAAGTTTGAATGAACTTGTTAGTAAATTTGTGCAGAGAATATACATACAGTTTTGGTACTGAAGTCAAATGCTCCACCCCACACCACTGCGGATAGAACTATTGCTTTAAATGAACATAAAACATACGATGTGCTTCTGCTTCAAACTTGCTTTTCGTAAAGTAGATAGATTAGTTTTTCTGTAGATTGGGGTAACGGTGAAAAGTTCTACGTCACTGTGAGGTTTTTTGGATATATACAGGGTGGCGCATCGAAAACGACACAGACGCATTTACTGACAGCTCAGCTTTTTTTTGAAAAACGATCAGACCCGTCGATTTTGTTCTCGAGGGGGACACAAGGTTGGCAAAAAATCACGTTAGCACGTGCAGCCCCCTAAGCGGGGGTGACACCACCCCCAAAATCTTAAATGGAAAGGGTTGTCGATTGATACCTTATTTTAAAGGTCTTTTAATTCCCTTTATAATGATATAAAATTAATGTACTTCAGTTCAGTAGTTTTGAAGATTTATTGATTTGATCGCCAGAAATACCAGTCCAAACATTTAATTTTTGTGGCTGCTGTGTATGAAGCTCATGATAAATTCTAAGATTAGAATCGGACCAATATCGGCAGTTATGACGATTTACTACACCATTTAAGAAAAAGGAACATTCGTCGGAAAAGCAAGTGTTGAATAGAAAATATTCATCGTTTATAATTCGTTCACTCATATCTTCACAAAATTGTAATCGCCGATCAAAATCGTCTTCATTAAGTTCTTGTACCAGGTGAATTTTATACGGATGAAAACTATGGGCCTTTAGAATCCGTTGGACAGTACGTCGATTAACACCACACACAGTCTCCAATTTGCGGGTTCTTTACGTAGGATCTACATAAACGGGCCCTAAAGCCCCCACTTCTATTGCTTAGTTCCTTATGGGATTTTCAATGTTGCGTCTTTTATTGACGACTGACCCAGTTTCCCGAAATTTAGCTACAAGTTCTAGAACATATTTTCGATGCACGTTACTGTTACATTAAATATTTCTGCTGTTCTATTAGCGCACTGATTATTTCCGAAAAATATTTCGATAATTTCAACTCGACCATGGTTAATTTATAATAAAGCATTACAAGTTATTTTAGCAACAAATTGTGGACAAATCAATCGCAAACTATGTACTAAATTCCTATTTAAAATAAGTACGAGATATTTCCTTATCTTTCATCAAGAAATAACTTTTTTGCCACAAAATAACGCTCCAATAGCTATTTTAGATAACAAAATGATAAACAAACCATGGACGTAGTGAAGAAAAGCATTTACTTATTAAGTAAATTCTTTTAGTCAAATTTCTTCTGACAGTAGTACAAACTAATCTGTTGTACCTATTAAAGTCTACTTTAAGCTTTAAATCAATAAATCTTCAAAACTACTGAACTGAAGTACATTAATTTTATATCATTATAAAGGGAATTGGAAGAGCTTTAAAATAAGGTATCACTCGACCTACCTTTCCATTTAAGATTTTAGGGTTGGTGTCACCCCCGCCCGGGGGCTGCACGCGTGATTTTTTGCCAAACTTGCGTGCTCCTCGAAAACAAAATCGACGGGTCTGTTCCGTTTTCGATGCGCCATCCTGTATATTAACCAAAAGGCGAGTCAAATCTCCCAAGTCAGTGCTAGTGAGCACATATAGAGGAGGCTGGTAACGACATCATTAGGCTATATGTACAACTTGGGGCATTTCAAGATGGTGACAAAAACATGGAATATCGCGACTTCATATAAGCAATGAAAAGCTATGCTGCTGAACAGCTGCCTCGCGCGCTTTTGATTCGCCAACTCCGTATGTTGCAGGTACATCTTTTCCTGTCATCACACAAAACGGCAAATTTCATGACTAAATTCGAAACGCAGATTGAATTCCTAGGTTTACAAAAAGAATCTGAAATTACTAACTTGCATCCACACAAGCTCGCGGTATCTACACCGGTAATTACTGATTGCCGGTAATGATTTCTGAGAATATGTACCTAAGCACATTTTTTTACATTTAGTTTTCTGTACTCTTTCATCACTCTTTGATTTTTTTCAATCCAGACGGTTGATCTTCCGGATTTTGGGCCTTAATAAAGAACTTTGTACTTGTTACCGTATTCAAAAAGTCAAAAATGTATGCATGCACTTATGCTGTTTCGGCTAGTATATTGAGAAAGCATCCTGGACTAAGATTAAATCGTCTTTATCCATATAAGCCCAATACTAGAGGACTGCAATGAATCCATACCACACACTTATAAATCAGAGGACCTATCGCAAGTCATCTTAGTACACTGACGCAGAAATCTGAGGAAACCATTATAATTCCCAAGTGCATAACACCTTTTAAGCTAAATGGATGTATCAAAGATTTATTGGGCACATTGTGGGATTTATGACAGTTTAGATTCGTTTAAATCTCAGGTGAGAATGTCGTAAGTACATTTAAGACATTGGATGCAGAGGTGGGCTTGATAAATAGAGAAATTTAATATTAACTTGGCTAGCAATACTTTCCGGTATTTGTTTAGCGCAGGTTGAATCACAATTTCTTTCGTTCTATATATACAGGGTGGATCACTAGTGCAGCATTCCCCCCAGATATCTCAGAAGTACAGGAATATCATACAATAGGGTCAACACTGCTGTATACAAGTAAGTTCCTGTTTTGGAAAAATTAACAGTTAGAGGTTTCATTTTATTATTGGAAACCAACCATTTCATCGAATAGATGATGAATCGAGATGGTAGTAGCGTACAGATGGCGTACACTGTTTCACTTTCAAGCCAATTTACGATTTCATGACACCTCAGTTTGGAGGAAGTATGATTGCGAAAATTATATCATGTTTCTTCGATATTACATGACTTATACGCTAAAAATAATGTGACTCATCACTAATCCGTGACCCCTCTATAGATTGGAAAATACCACTCTTATGTTGATGAAACTTTGACACTATGCTTATACTACTCCAAGGAGAAAAAGGCGTTGTCAGTTCTGAAAGCAGATCCAGTCAATACCGGCAGTGTTACGGGAAAAAGATTAAAAAAAATAAAACCGTTCAGTCCTTCGTTCATCTTCTGACGTTACAGACGCTACTCCTCATTTTATAAAATTTTATTGTGAAATCTATCTCTATCGATGTACAGAGCTCCACAGAGTTGGAAAGTGCAGCAGAAGTGTGGAGAGTCTAACTAGCAAGCCTAGAATGCGGCGACACCATGTAGAAACCTATGACGCCTTCCAAGTGAAGAGTAACAATTTTTCGTCATTAGGCGCTTTAAGAAATAATCATTTTTAATAATCTTACTTTGAGAAAGATCACCGTGGTGGCTGAAACGTCAGTAAAAGGTAATTCAAACATATGTGGTTTCACGGCAAGACAGTCATGCAGATGTCCCAAATCATACGACTACTCCCAGATTATAACTCCTTACATCGCAAAGAAGGAAAACTTCTACATGACATCTGAAATTCGAGAATTTAAACTGAACTCCAGTAACAAAGATTATATGCAGAAGAATACACACAGATAGGGAAATCTCTTGAGTCTTGAATCTAAGTATTTTCGCCGAATAGACAGAAAAAGGAAATCCCCCATTTGAGTGTAAACAGGAAAATTACGGAAAACTTCTTGGTTGTTACATAACCCACCCGCAATGCCGCCGCTTGCAACTTTTATGTTTTTTATCGACAATTTTTCTTTTAGGGGTAATATCGTCGGATTTATCTGCAAAGTTTCTCCCCTTGTGTATATAGAACAGGCATGTGATAGTAGGCAATACATTTCAAAAGGGTAAGATTTGTTGCAATATATATGGTGAATTTTTCAAATCCGATGTATATGTTATAGAATTTGAAAATACCTCTTAAACATTCCAAGGCGTTATAACACAAGATCAGAGGTAAGAATTAGAGCATATCTACCTTCAGAGCTTCTCATTATCTACTAAATAAGACTTGGTCTGAAATACTGATGACCTAATCAGGTGGAACGATGCTGCTGCAACTATAGTCTCCTTCAGAGGAGAGCTGTTCGAGACTGTCGAACCGCTCTCACTAAATATTGGCGGTCTGGGCTCTCTTCAACAAACTCAGGGCCGTATCGTCAGTCTTTCTTACAATTGTAGGACGTCTTTATGGCGTCCTTGATTGTCATAGTTTTCTACTCTTCCGTATCAGCGCTCTATTTTGAGGTTATGTTACATATATCTATTTGAATCAAATTGTTCATACTTTTGATTCGTATCGTCTGTTAAAGAGCCTGAAAAGAAAAGGTAGCCTGACAATAGGTGAGCGCTGACGCTGACACGGAAAAGTATAAATCTAGAAATATTCCAGCGCTTCTGAAGGAGAGGAAAGACTATGAAAATCAAGGAGGCCATAAAGACGTCCTACAATTGTATGAACCACTGACAATACGGCCCTCAGACCTCTTTTCATACTTGAACAGCCAGCAACCATTTCAGTGTTCCTAGTGTGTCGATAATATGTAAAATTCTGCCAGAAGAGATTTTTCTCAGTTCTACAATCAAGAGGCTCGAAAATCAGGGCCAACAAGCTCTTTTCAACATCTTTCAGCTTCTGTTTCGTCGGTATTTATATTTTTCCTTCGCAGCTACTCCATTATAAAAATAACTCTGCATTATATTTGTCGAGACATATTTTTTGGGCAATCAAAAAAAGGAGAAACGTTTCTTGCTATCGTTAAAATGGCCATGTGGGGGCTTCAAGTCTAATTCTTCATATTTTAACATTAACATTTCAATAGGGATATTACCTGCCACTATTTTTTATCTAAAATGAGATCCATTTTAAATAGAAAGTAAAATTTTTATAGATCGCCCAAGAAAGAAGTCTGGAATCAATGAATTTGCTGCTCTTGGAACCAGAAGACATCGCCTGGAGGGATCAAATGGCTCGCAAACATTCTTAGCAAGGCACTCAGCAATGTGTCATTGGGTCTCACATTTCTGAAGACGCTGAAGGCGGTATTCCCCTTACTGTCACTGGCGAGCGCTAGCGTGATACAATGCAAGACTTTGCGATTTTCTTGTACTTGACCAGCTAGAAATGTAGGTTCAGGGCATCAATGCCTGAAAACGAGTATAACAGTGTTGTATCTACCTTTTCTGGCAGAATTTGAAGTCTTTTTTGACGTTTATCAAACCATATTGTTAATAAAAATAAAATAATATTTTATAATAATCGTCTTTATTGGGGGCGAAGTTTATCATATTATTATTCTGCCACTTCACCTCACAACAAATGTACAAAATAGAAAACATACACATTTTCATCATTGCAATAATTATTTAAAACAAAGGTATACAAAAATAGGTGTAAAAATATGTTGTATAAAAATATCTTGAATACAAATATAAAATATAGTAGGTATGTATACAAGGATATGATTTTGAGCTATTCAGGAAGAATATTTATCCAAAATAGTTTTTCCGTATCATTAAATGTTTCATCACAAAGTTAGTACTTTAGAGATGATATTGATGGACTCCCACACTTCTCCTGGCATTCGCACGAGAAAAGTGTAAGTACTGACCGCCACGGCATTTAATCATCCCGTTAGGCTATGCTGCCGACCAGATTTAACACCTTGAGATTTCAAAAAAGTAAGCTGTGTGCCAACAGACCAAGCTGTAGCAGCTGAGGCACCATTTGGAAAGCTATTGAAAATATTGATCCCCCAAGACGTCTAATTACTATTGCTTACTGAGGCGGGTATTCATATATATATTTTTCAGAAACAACTTCTAACTTTATATTAAAAATAAAGATAAAAATGGACCCCTACTTATTTTTGGACGAGTCAAGTTAGCAAGCTGAAATTTAAAGTATTAAAACTTATACATGAATAACATATTTTAGCGTAAAAGTGGCAGTCAAAATTTCAAGACTGGGCACCATTTTAGAACATCTTTTTAAATGGAATGGGAGGTCGTGTACGACGAGTATTTTATAACTCAATCACCATCTCTCAAGATAAGGAACTAACGGCTTTTCGGTTAGTGGAGTCCCTGGTAAAATTGTCAAAATCTGTCAATTTTCTCCCATATTTTATTGCACATATAAAAGAAGATTGATTGCCCATAAAGATTTAATAATAGTTTGCTCAGTTACAAGCGACTCAATGTACCAAAAACTCAACTTCGACAGTCTGTCAGTCTGCCAGTTTGACAACTAGTGATTTATCAGTCTATCTTTCCCATTGAAAAATGTCCCAAAGGCGGCAAGCAGCCATCTTGAAATTTTCATCGACCAATTTTACGCTACAATATGGCTTTCATAAGTTCATTACATTATGCCGAATTTCAGGTTGCTTGACCCGTTCATAGAATAAGTAGTGGGGGGGCTTTTTTATATGAGTTATTTGAATGTTATTACTTATTCCAAAACAAAGGAAAACATGCCCAAAAACGTGTACTCTAATTGTCAATAAGTCAACAACGTACCCTAATAAAGGGAAACAATGTTCTTTATCTGATAACTTAATACTCCAAACTCCTTTCTCTACAACCGAACCTAAATCTGCCACTGATTAAGTAAACTGGACGCTAAAAAATGTCAAATTATATTACTGGGATTGTATGCTAGAATGACTGCATTATAAGGTCCAGAATTATGTTGGATTTATCAGAAGAGTTCCAACCCACTAGTTCACATCCCCTTTTTTACGAGATGCTTCTTGCAACTTTACTGCTCCAGTTTCAGTTTTGGGTCCAGATATGTATTTGCAAACAGGCTGCAATAATTTAACTACTCAGAAATTATAGACAGTCCAAAACGTCTATGGTTGGATATTTGTTATTCCTTGTAATATCTTGCAAAGATTAATAAAGTACCTTAATGGACGGCCCAAGATTAAGGAGGTAAGGTCAAACATAGGTACTGACTATGAATCAAAACCCGGTCTCCCAATGACTGCAAGAGGAAATTATCCAGTTTGATTCTCGATATACAGGATGTCCCAAAAGTTATGGACCAGACGAGAGGGACTTATAAGGGGGAGGGGTTATTTCAATCAGAAAAACAACATAATATGTTCTCATCCGACTATGAATGGTATTTGAGTTTTCACCATTTTGTAGAAAATCGCTAATTTTGAGGTTATAATCCATTTTTTCTGAAACTATGTTTACCTTACAGGGTATTTTCCTGGGTAGTTTACGTTGAGGAAAAGCTATGACTGAAAAATAAGTCCAGTTAATGTAGGCATAGCAATCTGTTAAATCGAAATGTTGTGTGTTGTCAAAGGTTTACAGCATATAGAAAATAATAGAGGGCAGATGAGTTACCCACTAGTTAGAAGAATCTTTCAGATACTAGGGTCATATAAAATGTCATTTAAATGACTAAGTATCCTAGATAGTTTCCGCGCAAGATATGCAAAATCCTACAACTTCCATTGTCAATTTATTACATTCCAAATAGAATCAACAAACGATTAAGTGACAAGTGAACCTCAAATTCAAATCAATGTCAGGTCTAATCAATTCAAGGGGTGACCGGCTTACTAAATTTTGGGTTATAAAAGAGTTGGGAAAGCTATGTGGTATTATCTAAGCCGATTAAAGCCTTCTGTAATACAAATAGGATAATAGGACATGCATAGCATAATACTCACAGTGAGAGACAATGTTGTGCTCATTCCACGTATGTCTTTCTAATATTGCCATCTCCATGCAAAGTGCCTCGCTCGGCACAAGAGTACGCATAAATGCACTTCATTGTTGGAACTTGCCATGAAAGTGCCTGACTTGCTGCTGAAGAATATCAAAACCGATGTCCAGTGAAGCAAATTTGTGCTGCACCTACTCCACATTAACCGTAAACACGCACTTCTTCCAGAAGACTACCTAAAGAGAGCCAAATTTTGCAGAGAGATGCTCCATCCATTCAAAAATATCATGCAGATTTTCCAAGAGAAATCTAAACGGGCCACGACACTTTTTGAAGGGCAGGAATTTGTAACATTCACAATTTACATTACTTGGTTCTAAACAAATCCACGAATCATAACATTATGGGCTAGGACTAGTGGATGATACATCCACTGGTTTAATTAATTACCTGAAAGAAATGAGACAAGCTCTTTTTCTAACTATGGACACTATCTGCCCAATATTTTCAGGTGTACCTGATGTATATGTAATGTAAATATAAAATTACCAACTCGTAACTTTTTTACATGGACCAAATCTGCATGAAACGGCCATGATCTACGTGTCTCTGGGGATTGTCATTACATTTGCTTTTGTATAAATTTCTTTAATTGCCAAAAAATAGCGATTGCTAATAAGTATGTTTGCAAAATATATGCGCGGCAATGCGAATAATAAAATAATTAAAGAACGGGTTTTGTAGCCATAAAAATTCTGCGAATTCTGAAAAACTATCGAGATATCACTCGTAATTTTTGTTCAGGGAATGTAGAGATGTGTGGCACACTTCCTGGAGAAACAAAATAAGGGTTGCTTCTTTAGCCAAAATGCCAATCAAGGAATGCCCTAGTAGTCAAAAATTTGCTATGAGTCCATTACCTATTGTTTGTACTAAGAATAGGAACGAACCTGATACACATGATATATTCAAAATATCTACTAATTATCATGTTCTCTATCTTCTATTTTCAAAAACATTTCCCAACAAACAGCAGGCTGAGAAAATTTTAAACAATAAACTACACAAAATAGTAGCATACTTTCAGGCAAACATGGAGATCCTGTATTAAGTGATAAACAACCCGAAGACTTGGAAAAAAACGAAGAGGAAGCAGAAAAGAAAAAGATGAAGCAGACCCTTCAGAAACATCTGGTCGTTCTACTTCCTTCTATGATTTAACCTTATTGTATTTATCTTGCCTGTCGAAGCGCTTCTTTGAATGTTTGTTCTTTGCTACAGTCTTGTGAAGGGATAGGTACATACGCCATAAGATGGGAAAAAATGAATGAGGAACTGGATCAAAGAAAAAGAGTTGGGTCCATTGAAGCAATGCTTTTTTTTCATTGAAGCAGCCGCGCAGCCAGCAGCCTAAATGCCGGAACACCGCGGCTGCTATGATGATCCCAAAGATATTTTGTTTCTACGATTTTTGAACTGCCTAAGATTAGTAGAACTGGGAAAAGCCTCCTCTTGTAGATTGTTCCACAATCTCGACACCCTCGGGACAACGGAGCGGTCGTATCGGCCAGTTCTGGATGTACGAAGTTCGAAACGGTTAGGATGGGATGCCAAAGTCAGGCGCGTCTGTCTGGCAGGCACATCGCGCCGCGGCATCATGGAAGACAGCTCTGAGGAGCAAAGCCCGTTGGTGTAGCGGTAGAAAAGAGCTAGATCGCCGACACACCGACAGCCCGCCGATGCGAAAGAGTCCCAAGACTATCTGTCAGAGAAGTGTCATCGATGAGTCGGACCGCCGGCCTCTGGATAGCATCGAGCATTAATAATGTAGTAAGGGCGGCAGCACCCCAAACGTGAGAGCAATACTCGAGGCTAGGCCTTATCTGGGCCTTGTACAGAGTGAGAACATCATGCAGAGAAAAGTACTTCTTAGCCCTAAACAAATAGCCCAGCTTTTTCCCAGCCGCTATTGACGAGATGTGTTCGTGCCAAATCAGGTCCTTGGTGATCTGGACTTCGACCAGCCGAAATGAATGGCTCTTTGGCAGATCGGCCATCCATCTGAACCGGATGAGCGCTAGAACGCTTTTTGTTCGTCAAAGTACAGTACTGTGTCTTGGAAGCATTAAACTTTACAAGATCATTGCGGCCCCGAGCAGTGATAGCCTCCAGGTCTTTTGTCAGAGAGGAAGTCGTCGCTAGTCTTCTGTTTTCCAACTCAGCGGTAGAGATCGGCTTATCATTCTGAATTCTTGCATGTAGAGTGCTGTCATCAGCGAAGCTGTGGATTGGGTTGATCGTGCAGGAAAGGAGGTCGTTGATATGTAAGAGGTACAGTGTCGGAGCCAAAACCGATCCCTGGGGAACACCCGCGCTGACGTTCTGGGATGTAGAGGAGAACTAGTCAATTACGGCAGATATCTTGCGACCCGAGATAAAGTCAGCCACCCATCTGCAAAGATTTTCTGGGAGGCCATAGGATGGAAGTTTGCTTAAGAGAGCAGCGTGCCACAGCTGATCGAACGCTTTCGTGATGTCAAGGGCAACGATATGAGCGTCACCATAAGACTGGATGAGTTTACTCCACAATTGCGTGACGTAACCTAGGAGGTCCCCTGTGGATCGTTTGTGCCGGAAACCATACTGCCTGTCGCTAATCAAGCTGTAACGTTCGAGGTAGTCCAGATCCTTTTTTGGGATGGGTTGGACATGAGCAAATTTCCAGTTTTCTGGGAAGGTGCCGGATTTATAAGATATCTGGAAGAGACCGAAAGAACTGGAGCAAGCTCCGCTGCACACCTCTTCAGTACAATGGCAGGGATCAAGTCCGGACCAGAAGCTTTGTTGATGTCGAGCGACAAGAGCACTCGTCTAACGATCTTATGCCTGAATGTTACCTCCCGCATAGGGTAAGGAACCCTTTGAATTGACGGTACTTGGGCGTTGGGGGGGACGTCCATGGTGGAGTTGGCAGCAAAGATCTTGGCAAGCACTTCCGCCTTGGCCTTTGAGTCGGATACAATCGTTTCATCCTGACACTTAAGTGGTGAAAGGCTACTGTATAAGACGTTCTTTTCAATCTGCTTGGCCAGCGTCCAGAAAGATCGACTGCCATTGCGCTGCGACATTACCCTGTGCTTTAATATCGTGCTGGTTTTTGGCATGGCGAACCGCTTCGTTGTATTTGTTTCCTGACTCGACGTCGGCTTGTCTGTTCTCTGCAGTGGGGTTTTGTAAGAAGGTCCTGAGAGCTATAAAGGCAGCAAATAAATTTGGGTGATGTTTTGGAGTTGAGGCGAAGCCACATAATGTTCTTCAGGTCTGATTCCAAAAAACCATCTCTGGAGTAGGAAAGACTGGTGCGGACAAAAGCCACAACTCCCCCGTTCTTTCTCAGATTGGAGTGCACCTCGTAATTTGGGAAGTTAAGATGGTTAATCGGTGCAGACTCTGAGATTTTTGTCTCCGCCAAGAAAAGCATAGCGGGACGATTGGATTGCAGGTAGTGATCAACAGCATCAATGTTGCTGTTAATACCGCAGATGTTCGTAAAACAAATTTTATCTTCGATGTTGTTCCCTCGATCCCACCCTTCACCCGGACATTCCGAGAGTGGAGTTAGTTAACGTCCGGAATTCTGAGTGCTCGAGGGATCCATCATCGTTAATTCCTTTGTTTTGGAAGATAACCGACTGCATAGCTTAGGTGTGGATACATGCGGACATTTATAAGGTACCCTTGAAAAGCTAGCGGGTGGTACCGCCTCGGTCGACTGGTACCTTGTCTACCACCTCCTTTTTGCGTGTTAATGATATTGAATGGACTTAAAGTGGTCCGTTGGCGGACTTGTACCGCCACACGGTAATCGGTGCTAAGGTATTCCTTAACGCGTGTACAATCACTTGAACGGGAAGAAGTTGTGTATTGGATACAACAACTTCCGGAACAAGCATTTGCCACGACCCCGCTCAGTAGGGAATGGATGTGAGCTTTTGTATTGAGGCTTCATACGAATTTCCAAATTTGCTGTTGCTGATTGCTCCTAAAATGACGCGAATTGATTTTGTATACCATGCGAGCCTCGGTCTTGTATGCTTGTGAACCTGTCCGACTGTCTACCAATTGTTGTTGATATATCTGAAAACAGCAAGCCGCAGTATCAGTGATTGCTGGTCTAAAAATCATCTTTCGCAACAAATGTGACCTCCAAGACTTCGTTGAGCTTTAGTGTGTGCTAGACCCGTCTCTTTCTAAAGAGTGACACCAATGTACTAGCTACTGGAGTGTGCAGATTATTTGCGTTAACTTCTGGGTAGAATGTCACGTTTTCGACGGTGGTGGCCCACATCTAGTAAATCAAGCCTTGGAATCCAAGTACCAAAAAGCTATCTACATCGAAATTGCATGTAAGTTTTCGTTTTATGCAGAATTGCCACTTTTGATAATCCGCTATGCTGAACATCGCCCCTAATAAAGATGATTGTGATTATTATTTTCATAGTGATTAAAGGATCACCCGGAAAGGTTACACGAGTCAGAGTTCATTTTTGTATTTGCTGACGATTCCTGCTTTTTATTGTTTTGTTGTATATAGGCTGTTGTCAGCTTGTATAGCCAGATATTCCCTACTTGCAACAAATTGAACCAAGTTGGTGACATGCCCGATTAACCTCACTTATAACAGCTGGATGATAAATTATTTTTTTACGACTTACTGGAATCGAGACTTAGTCCTTCCCATCTCTATCCAGCCACGGTCCAGACGGCCAACTCGGACGTTTTCTAATAATTATTTCAATGCTCGAAGGACCAAAGTTGTTACACTGTGTAGTCGGAGCGATGTCTGTGGTTGGCCAGCAAGCAGCACACAAACCAACCGACAGTCCGACAATCGGTAATAACAATAAATCAGGCTTGCCATGACTGGGTATGTGTATATGTAATCTGCCGCGACGATGCGATGCCCCGTACAAAAACGCTCCTTCGGATGGACGGATCTTTTTTGTTTCTCAAGATTAGATGAAAATACGGTACATGAGGGATACTCGTTTTGAGGTGTCTTTTGTACAGCGAAAGGGGCTCGTTTTCTATTTTTTATTGTTGTTCGATCGACAAGATGAAGACATTATTGTTTGTGGGTGTAGCATTTCTAATGTCTCTAAGTGTATTATCTACCATCACGATATCATCCAGAAAGCAAGGATTATCCTCTTAAGGATGTTCCTCCATTTTAGATTAAATAATTGGAAAATGTATCGCGGATACCAAATGCACCTCTGATTACATTAAAAAGAAAAAGGTACTACCATATAATACTGGAATGCTTGAATACCCCATCATTTTTACTCCCTATGCCATTGGGCGAGGAAGTATTTCAATCGCGAAAAATTTCGAAATTGAGATATTGTCTTTTGGATGATGATATGACAAGCACATGGCAAAAAAACATGTCACTAATTTCCGTCGATCTGACTATCCGACGGTTTGTGTGCCTACTTCTGAGGTTTCTGATCATCTTCAGAAAAAAATTTAAAGTTATGATGTTAGGGAATGTATGGGGTGGGGGAGAGTATACGAGTATGTCAATTTTTTGGTGCTATCAATTTATACGTTTCCAGATCAGGTAATTCTACGCACCTATTAGACATATTTCATGAATCAAAGATTTGATTGACATTCGCCTTCAAAAGTTGAATTATAAATATATATCTGGGATGTACGCGTGCCGGGCATCTCAACTAGATGGTGCTTCTGTTCTTTGGATGGCTAGGGATGACACGTTATCGTGCATGATATAATCCCGTGCTGGATTGCGACTTTGCTGGATAGCCGGTACTGTAGGTCGCGCGGTAGGCTAGAACGCATTGTTGGACTATGGACTGTTTGTATGATCCACTTAATTCCTTTGTTATGAATACAATGTACTTTGCCAATATTCTTCTAATATTATAATATAATTCCTTATGAATTGATAACAGCGTCGCATATGAAGTGCGGGTCAACCAACTTGGTGCCATTTTTTAATCAATTCTCCATGTAAGCAAGGTTAGAGTTTCTAACAGCTCCTAATATGTTTATTTTGCAATTGGGCGAATGTAGTAGGTTCAGACCGTGTAACGCTGGTAATACGCCGATAAACCAAAGGATCAGGTTATACCAAATTTTCACAATACATTTATATTCAGATTGTCAGAGTCGAACTATTATAATTTTTTACTGAT